AGTACCGCCAACGGTGGGCAGAGCGCTTCCATTGCAGCAATGGACGCAAAACGTAGTCAGCTCTCGTACACTCATCACGAAACGGTTGCTTTTAAAGTCGACTACGCATCGACCGAAAGAACTGCTGATGAAGAACAATGAGGAGGACCCAAGGGGTAGGTCGCTCCGCACACCATTCTTGGGTCATTTTTTTTGTCAGTGTGCCGGTTGTGTCGGTCATAGAACAAGCTGCGATTGTTTGTAAAATACCCAACATGGCAACCCAGTATTTCTGACACTTTGAATGTTTTGGTTTGAAATTGCAAGGATAAATCGGTCTAGTGGCAACCAAGGAGAAATGCAATGTCTACATCGGTTGTACCTGATGCTCAAATTCATAGCATTCGTTCGCCAGCCGATAGACGATGACGCTGGAAATGGCGGGTATGCGCAATTATTCTTGTGTTCATAGGATAATAAAAGTCCTCAAAGGCAGACCAGAAACCTAGCCTTTTGTGATGTGAAAAGTAACCGGCGGGAAACATTGTTGGAGACCGAATATAGAAGATGATGAATATGACTTCTGTAGTTGAATAGTGCGTTGCATTATTTGAATTAAGGATTCTTATGGGGTCTAATTAACTGCCTCTTTCTCTCGAGCTCATGCTAGAACCTAAATTTCGGATTTAAATCTATAAGAGAACCCAGAAGTGAACTGCTAGTCTGCGTTCCAATGATGTATTCAAGTTCCTGAATACTCTAATAAAAAAATAATACCTTAAACGATTTCCAAAGCACGACGTTAGGCAAAATAACCATAACAATGTTATTAAAGTATGCAGTCAAACAGCACGTAATGCTGTTAACAGCGTTAATGACAGTTGTCCAGTAGTGCTCCCATTCTATTTACAACAATACAATGTCTACGAGATTGTGCCGAAGGTGTGCCGCATCTAAATTCGGCACAATGTGCTGAGTGACTTACCCCTTGAGAGGACCACACAATGGTTGCTGCCGAGTAAACAGACGAACGCGTGACACACATCGAGAGTGGCCTGCTTCTGTCGACAGCCGAGTGAACACTGTTCCAGCGTTGCCAGACATACCGATTTATCGGTATTTATACCGATTTTCAAACTTGATACCTATATACAGATAAGGTTTCTCAGAATACCGATTTTTGAGTTACAATACCGATTTATATTGATTTTTTTTTAATGATCAAAATGATTACTACCTACCCGCACTGAATTGTCAGAGGAAACTATTGTGATAGACTTTCATCTTGTTGAAAATTACAATTTTTGAGACCGCACTAAAAAAAAATTCATCTTCAAAAATGTCTTATGCTTGATACTCTTTCGACTAATACTTCCTTTTCCTCGCCATTTTTTGTTACCAAGGAGTCGAGAAACAGCTGATAGCTCCATCTTAGCAATTTCTGGAAATCGGGAAATACTTTTATTCAGTGGAAAAATAGGTCCATAAAAACGTTAATTTTTTAACTTCCTGAAATTTCTTTAATCTTCCCTTCGTAGTTTCTACCAACTTTCCCTAGGAATTCCCGTCCACATTACCCTGTAAATTATTTTCCGATTCCTTCTGGAAAGCTATTTCCACTTCCCTTGGAAGCTTTTTCTGGATTCTGGCTTCGCTCGAAACGCTATTCCGTCTCCTCCCGTCAGTTTTTTCAACTTCTCCGGAACTTCAGAAATGCTTCCAGAGTTTTATTGCAGCTCCATTAGTTTCAGAAAAACTTCAGGAACTTTTCAGAAGTTCTGAAACTTCAGAATAGTTCGGACTTTGGGTAGGTTCAGATAAATTAAAGACAGTCTCATCAGCTTCTGTTCAAATCCAAGAACCCAGGAATCTCAGGAAAGCCCAGAGAACTCCAATGAACTTAAGGAAACTGAAATATTTTGGAAACTTCACAAGCCCAAAGAACTTTAAATAAATTTAATGGTTTTCAGGATAGTTCCATTTGTTTCAGGATAGAACTTTAGGTAAGCATTAGTACATATAAATTCAAGAAAATTTCTGAACCTTTAAATAAGTTCCGAAAACTTCAGTTAAGGTCCAAGAGGTTCCTGAAAATTTTGGTAACGTAAGGGAAGTTACATTAGAAAATTGTGTGAACATTTTAAGGGAAGTTGTGTGTTTTTTACCGGCAGTTATGAGAGCTTTAAAAAAATATCAGAAAATAACCTTTTTTGCTGTTTTTCTTAAGCATTCCGCTAACAACCCAATTTCATTACTTCAATCTGATGGCTACCAAGCCTTTGAGATTTTCTTTTTTTTTAGTCGTGTAGATTTTTCTCCTTGAGTTTACTTAAATCTTTGGTTTTAATTTGTTAGGTAGGTTCCGATTCAACACATTATAGTTTCATTTTTATACCTGTGATCTTAACTATTTTACCTATGGGAAAAGTACTTAAGGGGGTTAGTTTTTGATAAGTTCTTTATTGGGAATGACACTGATGAAGAATGCACATTGTAGTCGAAATACGTATGGATACCTACATTAATTAAGTGGAATTATAAAGAAGATAACCTTTTTGCTGTTGTATTTAATGCTGATGTTGATTAATTTGAAAAAAATAATTGAAAGCCCTATAGAAGATCCAGGGACTTTTAAAGAAGATAAGAGATTTTCCAGTAGTTCCATAATAATCAAGGAAGTTAAGAGTACTTCGAGGACGATCAGACAGCTTCAAAACAGTCCCATTTACTTTAGGAAAATTGTAAGAACTTTCAAGGAGTTCCGAATAATTATGAGATATTCCGAAGTGCAATTCAGGAATGTTCTGAAAACTTCAGGAACATTGTGAAATTTTCAGGGATGTTTTATGAATATCAAAAAAATTGATGGATCAATAGAGCATGTGAAGAACTTCAGAGAATATTGTGCTAACATTCCCCAGAAATCTATTTTTTCCAGATATTTTCCCACCTTCTCCTGTTCTGTTCTCCTGTTCTCCTGTTCCGTAAATCCTCTGGCGTCCGACTTTTCCAGAATTTTCATCCAATCTACCTTAGGAAGATTCTCCCAGTGGCTCCTGGAAGTTTTTTCCGTCTTTTCCAAAAAGTTCAATTAAAGTTCTACCGGATGTATCTATCGAGTTCTCCCAGAAGTTTTTTCGTCTTCCTCTGGAAGTTTCTCCATGAGTCACTCTCTGTAGGTTTTTTCCGTCTTATTGGAAGGTTTTTCCGAGCTTCTCCTAACTTCCCCTGGAAATGGCTCCTCCGGGATTAGCTGATTTCCACACTTTTCTGGCTTCTGGATTTTTTCCGAAAGTTTCTAAAATTGTTTGCCAGAAGTTTCTTAATATTTGTCTTGGAAGATCCCCATTGGATGTTTTTTAGACATTTTTTAGAACTTCCTTCAAACTTCCTCTTCTTTATTCTTCCTTTGGAAGTTTTGTTGGTACCATTAAAAGACTAATACAAATATTTCCCAGAAGTTTCTTCCGACTTACATAGAAAGTACATCTTTCGATTTTAGTCAAAAAAAAAAAATAAAATAGTGAATACCGATTTTTTAATTATTTGATACCGATAATCATGAAAACAATCTGGCAACGCTGCACTGTTCACCAATTATGACAACGAAATGTCAAAGTAAATGTGACGTCTAGTTTTGACGTATAACCATAGAGGTAACTCTAAGACTAGTAGGTCCCGAAGCAACGCGCTCAACTTTTTGGCTCAGCTCTGGTACTATCTTCGGTCCCAAGCTAATCGATGCACCCCTCGAAATATAGGAAAATCCACGAACCCCTCATTTTATCTGTCAAATTTTCATAGCAAATCAAAACAAACATTGTGTAGTACTAGAATTTTGACTACGTACGTTAATCGATTTGCTTGGGACCAATAGGCTAGTCAAGTAGTGAGCCAATTTAAAATCGATAGTTTCGTATTGATTGTTGGTATAACTGTCTTTTAACAGGGCTGTGAACGAACGCCCAGTTAGCGAACAAGTACTGTTCTTATTTTTTACCCTGTTTCCCATCGCTCCCGTTCCTTTTTTGACCCTTCCCACCGTGGCTAATTAAAATCAATAAGTGTGTAGGATACTTAAAATTCCATTGTAAAGCCAAAGCCAACGCAAAAACAAAAAAAAAAAAAGATGCTCTAGACCCCTCTTCCGATTATATCAATTGAAGTCTCAAATGGTAGGGAAAGCCTTTGTGATAAAATTTCACACTTACCGAATTTTGCAAGATGAAGTTGTTCTAGGAAACACATCGTGATAAGATGTCATAGTTGGTGGTCATGATAAAGAAGTGGGAGAAAATCGAAGCGACTCAGATGAAGAATCTAATTAAGCGAATCTGTTCATCGTTTGTTCGTATACCAGAAGAAAGGCAATAATTGCACTTCTAAGTGGATTGAATTGAACAGTTACAGTTCTTGTTTGTCTCAAAATCAATAATTATTACTTTTTACCCAATATCTTCGCAGAATATGGCTTACAACAGGAGAACATAATTTTGGCCAGGTTTTTTACCTAGTTGCATCCTCCCCGGACAAGTCACAAATGATTGTTCTAATCCGTAATCGTTGAAAGTGTATTGATAGTTTCTAAGACAATCCATATCCACAAGTACATATCCATAATTAATAAAGTTTGTCGACCTCAACGACTCAAGGATATGAATCACTCGACTACATTGAACTGACCATTCCTTTTAGCAATTTATCGAACTTCAACGGGTACTTGCTAGCAATCACTTTAATTGTACATGTATTGCGTGGGCCGATTGGATCTCGCGTGTGCAGCTGATCTCAAACTCAAGGGGTTCAATCCGAAGTCGGGAGATAACGCGTGAGAGTGCCTTTCCGCCTTCTCTCTACCCAGAGCGGGTCATGTTTGCACACGCAGACGGTAGCCAAGTGTCGCGCTGAGTGGTCACGATTGTATTTACCTACTCCTGCTTGACGCCCCCTCGCTGGACTCGTATCTGCTAAAGTTTCGAGTAGCTGCGCGAATGAAATTTTAAGTGCTAGTAAATCAAGATGATGTAAGTAGATTTTGTTAACACACTTGTATACACCGTTAAGTGTCTGTTGTAAATTTCGATTTCAGATTACAAGTCAGCCGCAAGAGGCTCTTCTTCCTAATGATAGGAACCATAGTAGGAGTGGGAATGATAACGCTCGCTGCAGTCTATGTACTGCACGAGGAAGAGGTAGAGGACATTCTCGACATCGATGATGACGATGGCGATAAAAATGATCTTAAAGCTGTAGGAGCGGTTGCATCAAATGCCTACGAATGCGCTTCGATAGGAGCGGACATTTTTCGGGCAGGTGGATCCGCGGCCGATGCAGCTATCGCTGTAATGTTGTGTGAAGAAATTGCCTGTCCGGAGAGTGCCGGAATCGGTGGTGGATTTCTGCTTACATACTATCAGCGTGATTCGGGGAAGGTGATCGTAATGGATGCCAGAGAGATTGCCGCTCGTGCAGCTAAGAAAGATATGTTCGTCAACTTCAAGAACGGGACGGCTCATGGAGCACTGGCGATAGCTACTCCTGGGGCTTTGAAAGGGTACTGGCTTTTACATCAGCAATTTGGGAAATTGCCTTGGAGAAGCCTTATAGAACCTTCGATTGAACTATGCCACAGAGGTCACATTGTGAATCCCTACATGGAAGAAGCATTGTTGGATATAAGGAAAGAAATTTTAGAGACTCCGTCCTTACGGGAAATATTCGTCAATCCAGAAACTGGAGATGTGTGGAAGGAAAACGATCGTATTTTTAGACCTGATTTTGCTGAGACACTGAAGGTGATTGCTGAAGAAGGATCGGATGCATTGTATTCACGAAATGGATCACTACTTCCCAAGTTGATGCAAGATTTGAAGGAGCATGGAAGCATTCTTAAGGAAGAGGACTTTTACAATTATGAGTAAGTTCCTTTTGGAGGTTGATCTCGTTTTTTACAAGCTCTAAATTTCGAACAGACCACGTTGGTTTTCTCCAGTATCAACCAAGGTACGGGGGGAAAACACGGTTCACAGTGCTGCTCTGCCCGGAGGTGGGACAATCTTGGTTCATATGCTGAATGTTCTTGATGGGTTTAAGGATCTTGAGCCATCGGATCCAGTAACATGGCAAAGGGTGGTGGAGACATTCAAACATGCCTACGGGATCCGCACCAGACTGGGAGATCCTCCGTTTGTTCTGGGCATTGAGGCATTAATTCGAAACCTCACCGACAAGGGTTATGCAGACTATATTAGGGAGAAAATTAAGGATGATCGCACTTATACCAGTTATGATTATTACGGAGCAGATTTCTCACCATCGGAAGACCACGGAACGGCACATGTTTCAGTGCTAGCTCCAAATGGAGACGCCATAGCTGTCACCAGTACTATTAATGATTAGTAAGTTAAAAATGGATAATCGTTAATCCATAACTAAAATTTAATTATTTCAGTTTTGGTGCTCAGATTCGATCCTCTCGAACCGGAATAATTATTAACGGAGAGATGGATGACTTTGCCGTCCCTGGAGTCGTCAATATCTTCGGAGTTCCAGCATCGCCAGCCAACTTTATCGTTCCCGGGAAACGCCCGCTCTCGTCCATGGCTCCTACGATTGTGGTGGATGGAAGTGGCAATGTTCGCTTGATCGCAGGAGGCGCCGGTGGAACTAGAATCACAACTGCGACGCTCCAGGTAATCCTTCGGAAGGTGTTCTTCGGTCAGGACCTGCAATCGTCGATGGATGGATTCAGGGTTCACCATCAGCTAGCACCGATGGAGGTGGAGTATGAAGATCATGTCGATTCCGGCATTGTTCAACAGTTGGAGGCCCGAGGTCATGCCGTGCGAAAAGTGAAAAGGGTTGCTACGATGACTGCTGTGGCCCGGGAGGATGACGGAAGAGTGACGGCTGCTTTCGATCCAAGGAGGCCTGGAAGTGTTGCGATTATTGAGCTGTAGATAATGGTGGATTGCGGATGTGTTTGATGGAATATTTAGGTTAAGGTTGATAAGAGTTTACCTAGTGTGAGTGAGTGCAACCTGTAAATTATCTACTTATTTAGATTGTAAACACACAAATCTGATAAAGTCCATTATTTTCAAGTGTATACTCTCAGGATTAAACAGTTTATCAAGATCAATGGCGAAAATAACGCAACTGCGAGAGTAAATTCCACCGGATGCATATTTGCTCCGAGATGTCAGCTAAAGCATTCTTAACCTGAATTTGGGCTTTGTAAACGACAGGCGAGCCTCTTCGAACAGATCAACAGAGAAAAACAAATCAAGTCTGCTACAATTCACATGTCTCCATTTTGCACAGAGTATTGCTAAAGGTTATCAGTATACTTTCATAAAGCATTCGGAAAATACCTCAAGTTCTCTCAGAACATCTCTAAATTTTTCTGAAGTCCACTCAGAATTTCCCAGAACTATCCTCGAAAAATCCCGAGACGTTAAGTTTCCCCTATCCAGAACATCCCTCGAAACTGTTATTGGCTAGTCAGATAGGCTAGTTAACAGGAATTCCCCTAACCTCTGGTCTAGCCACGGAGATCGTCTGGGGTGGGCTACACTCGCCTCTTTTGTTTGCTGTTTTTCGTACTCGAAACCCTAGAGCTTCAAGGTCAGCTCCTGGCTTGTCGACACTGATCCGAAGTACAAAACACCTATTCGTAATTTTCAACTCTTTTATTACTCACGGTTTCGGTGTCTGTAGTGTGTGTGTGGGTGTGTAGTGCTGGCCAGCGATACGGGATTCTGCAGCGGGTGGGGTTTCTCGGCGGTGGATGAACATTACGTTCCCGGAGGATGACGGTGCTCGATGGTTGTCGTAGTAAAGGGTGATACGGTCAAAATTTGGTCAATATCAACTTGACGTATTTCTTTCAATTTTGCATTTAAAAACCTGAACACCCCTCATTTTGAAGGTGTGTGTGTGTAGAATGTTGCTCCTATTTTGATTTTGGAATTCACTCTTCAGTTGTCAAAATGCCGTCCAAGCAAGAAGAGCAGCGTATCAAAATTTTGCTCGCGCATCGCGAAAATCCGAGCTACTCGCACGCAAAGTTGGCAAAATCGCTAAAAGTTGCCAAATCAACCGTTACAAATGTAATTAAAGTGTTTGGGGAACGTTTGTCGACAGCCAGGAAGTCTGGATCGGGGGGAAATCGAAAACCGGAAGCCGCTGAGACGACAAAGAGAGTTGCCGGTAGTTTCAAGCGAAACCCTAACCTCTCTCTCCGAGATGCCGCAAATAAGCTGGGTGTATCGTCTACAACCGTGCATCGAGCCAAAAAACGAGCCGGACTATCGACTTACAAGAAGGTAGTGACTCCAAATCGCGATGATAAACAAAATACGACGGCCAAAGCGCGATCCCGGAGGCTGTACACGACGATGCTGACGAAGTTTGACTGCGTGGTAATGGACGACGAAACCTACGTCAAAGCCGACTACAAGCAGCTTCCGGGACAGGAGTTTTATACGGCAAAAGGAGGGGGAAAGGTAGAAGATGTTTTCAAGCACATGAAACTGTCAAAGTTCGCAAAGAAATATCTGGTTTGGCAAGCCATCTGTACCTGTGGCTTGAAAAGCAGCATTTTCATAGCTTCCGGGACTGTCAACCGAAATTTACGTGAAAGAGTGTTTGAATAAACGTCTGCTGCCTTTCCTGAAGAAACACGGTTGTTCCGTACTGTTTTGGCCGGATTTGGCATCTTGCCATTACGGTAAAAAGGCCATGGAGTGGTACGCCGCCAACAACGTGCAGGTGGTTCCCAAGGACAAGAACCCTCCCAACACGCCAGAGCTCCGCCCAATTGAGAAATACTGGGCTATTGTCAAGCGGAACCTAAAGAAGATCAAAAAAACTGCTAAGGGCGAGCAGCAGTTCAAGGCTTTCTGCGGCGAAGAAGGTGGACAAGGTGGCTGTACAAAATCTGATGGCAGGGGTCAAGCGTAAGGCCCGGCAATTCGGATTTGGAAAAGCGGAAGCCTAACTGAATATTTTTCCTGAATTTTATACTAATTGAACTTGAAAAAGAAATTTAATTTGATTTTTTTAGATAAACGATTTCACCGATTTACACGCGTTTTCCCTTGACCAAATTTTAACCGTATCACCCTTTATGGCACAACGGATGCCGTGCTGGGGCTCAATGGGCTGATCGACGGTGGACTTGCTGTTCACCTGTTGCTAGTTTAAAGCGGTCGTCGGTAGCTTGCCAACTAACGCTTGCTAAACGGGTGGTGTTGGCGGTATAGCGTTCACCCTCACACTTTTCGACCAACGTTTTTCTGTGGCCGGATCGCAATGCCTTGTTAGCCCGTATTTAATGGGTCCTGAGGGGAATATAATGGGAATAATATGGTCTTAGGGCTGGGCATTCCGCTACTGGGTTATTAATTGGGTACTACCTGACTCCGTATTCGGCGGTATTAGCCGGTATTTGTTGGTAACTCTTCACTATGAAACTCGTTTGTAATTTATAAGAACTATCTTGTGCAATGGCTGAAGTAGAAGAGAACCTTTTCTTCAGTTTGACCCAGCAGCTTCCTCCTTAACCTAAGCCCATTTCCACCTTCCTCCCACTTTTCCACCACCCCTTGTCCATATCCTTTTCTTGTTTCCAACGCCCACCTTCATCCTTTCTCCTTCCCGTTACGTGTTCTGTGTTATGTGTTGTTGGTGTGACTGGGTTACAATTATTTAATTTGACCGTTGATGTGGGAGTGGGTTTTCCTTATAAATTTACATTCAAAAACAATACAACATAGTATACAAGAAACTGACATACAAAGCTTAGCTCCCGCGAATGAGAGACTTTAGTTTTGAGTTGTCCACCTCAGTAGAATGATGTTAACTGAAACTCACTTTAGAGAAACATGTTGTATTTGTTTCCAACTGCTAGAGCTAGAAGTTTAAAATAAATGTACAAGATTATTGTGATGCAAATTTATCAAATTTCTCATCGATTTGTTGTTCAGAATACTCAAAACATTAATTCAATGGTATCAGTTGGTACATAACTTGGGATTTCTATTTTATAATTTGTGAAAACTAAGTTTTCCAAAACTTATCGCGGAATTCCTCTCATCTGGCATTCTCTAAATAATTTAATATCATTTCAGTCCACAGCTAGTTTATCTAACGCGTCATTGATTTTAAAATTCAACAATCTCCACACTGCCTGGCCTTCTGGGATCGAAAGCTGCCGTAACCCTTCCATCGTGCTCCCTCGCCACTGCAGTCATCGTAGCAACCCGTTGGACTTTCTTCATCGCATGCCCTCGAGCCTTGAGTCCTTCAATAATTCTATCGTCCACTGCTCCCTCGTATTCCACCTGCATCGGGGCCAGTTGGTGATGCACTCTGTAGCCGTCCATTGCCGCCTGTAGATCCTGTCCGAAGAAAATCTTGCGAAGGATCACCTGTAGCGTTGCCGTGGTAATTCTCGTTCCACCTGCACCTCCTGCGATCAAGCGTACGTCTCCTTTGCGATCAACCACAATAGTGGGGGACATGGACGAAAGCGGACGCTTCCCGGGAGCGATATAGTTCGCTGGGGACGCCGGAACTCCAAAGATATTAATGACGCCGGGTGTGGAGAAGTCGTCCATTTCTCCATTCAAGATAATTCCAGTTTTAGGTGATCGCAGATGGGCACCGAAGCTGGAATTAAAAAGAACTTGGAAAATGGTTTGGGGAAGAAAATCTTGTATCTTACTAATCATTGATGGTACTGGTAACGGCTATTGCATCTCCATTTGGAGCTAATACCGAGACGTGCGCCGTTCCGTGATCTTCCGGTGTCGTAAAATCTGCTCCGTAGTAATCGTAATTTGTGAAAGTTTTGTCATCATACATTTTATCTCTAATTTGGTCAGCGTAGTCTTTGCTAGTGAGATTACGAATAAGATCATCGATCCCTTTAACAAAAGGAGGGTCTCCCAATCTGGTTCGAATACCGTAGGCATGCTTGAAGGTCTCCACCACCCTTTGCCATGTTACTGGATCATTCGGGCTAAGATCTCGAAAACCATCGAGGACGTTCAGCATATGGATAAGGATCGTTCCACCTCCAGGTAATGCAGCACAGTAAACCGTGTTCCCGTCGCGCAGCTTAGTAGACACCGGAGATAACCAACGAGGTCTGTAAATTTAAAAACAATTGACAAATTCCACTTCTGAAACTGTCTAAACTTACTCATAGCTGTAAAAGTCTTCCTTTGTAATGACACTGCCAAACTCTTTCAAATCGCCCATTAGCTTCGGAAGCAGACTTCCTTTAGAAGAGTACAGCGCATCGGCTCCTTCATCCGCAACTACTTTGAGCGTTTCGGCGAAATGAGGCCTTCTGAATCGATCACCCTGCTTCCAAACATCTCCCGTTTCCGGATTGACAAATATCTCTCGCAAAGATGGGGTATTCAAAACTTTCTCCTTCCGTTCCTGTAAGGCCTGTGCCATGTACGGATCAACGGTGTGTCCGCTGTAGCAAAGCTCAACCGAGGGCTCCACTAACCTTCTCCATGGCAATTTCCCATACCGTTGATGCAATACCCAATAGCCCTTCAATGCTCCGGGAGTTGCAATAGCCAAACCACCATGAGCTGTACCATTCTTGTGATCGACGAACATATCTTGCGTAGCGGCCTGTGCAGCAATCTCACGAGCATCGAACACTTCGACCTTCCCCGTGTCCCGATGGTAGAACGTCAGCAGAAATCCTCCACCCATACCAGCACTCTCCGGACAGGCCACTTCTTCACAGAACATCATAGCTATGGCTACGTCCACCGCTGATCCACCTTGGCGAAGAATATCCGCTCCCACCGAAGCGCATTCGTAAGCATTGGATGCCACTGCCCCAACACGACGGTGATCTGAACCAGGTTTTCCATTTTTATTGATCACAAAGAACACAGCAATTACCACAGCTGCAACGCCGACCAACGTTGTTAGTTCTGTCCGGCTGCTATTGAAAATTAGACCCAATTAGGATTTTCGATTAGACAACTAAATTGAAGATCAAGTGCTTACACCATTCCTCTGCCGCTGACAAACAACGAAGTCAATACACTCGAGCTATCTTGAATCTCGCTGTTTGAACTTCAACGGCACAACGCGACTAAACGGCGACGATGACGACGGACTTCGACTGGGTAGTGCAAATATAGACGTAAATGACGTACCAACCAGTCGCTGTGGACGACGCTCAGCCTGCGTCGTCTGCGTGCGGTGTTCTATGTATTTCACTTCGCGGCACTATCTCGTTTTAACAGCTGACCGGTTCAGCAAGTAGGTTACGCTTTTTGTCTTCGGAAGGCACGACACGAACTAAGTATCTACTGATTAATTGTTTCGCAACACGGTGCTCAATGGAAGCGATAGCGCTACGCAAAATATCGATACAGACATAAATCTCCCGAAGAACACGATTGGTGGCGGCCATTTATTAAAAAATGAGGGGAGAATGGAAAAAAATGTAGATTTTTTTTTGATGTCACGAAAAGATGGGACTAGCACATTTCGATTCCATGGATAATTTGACAGTTCAAGATTCCGTTCGGTTTATCTAGCTTTTAAAATTTTAGGGGAATTTTCGGAAAATTTCCCAAGATGGAACCCTCACCATTGAATTCTCCGGACATTTTTACAATAGTGCAGTGCAAGAGAGTGTAATATTAATGGCGAGAAATTATATTACGGCATGTTAAGGGTTGTCAGTACACCCAACTTGGAAATGTTCGATTCTATTACAGATTTGCATGAAAAGTATGCAAAATTTGTACTGTTTCGCGACATGAACAGATTATGTAATGTGGTCGCTTATTTTTCGAACAAAGTTTGTTGCCTCAAATGCATTGCGTCTAAAAAATCATCTCGGGACGGTTTTATACAAAAATGTGCATTCTGGAAAACAAACTTGCTTTTATGCCTAGGGGTACGCGATAACCTTTAACGCCAACGCAGGCAACGGTTGTAATTAAATTAATTCCATTAACTACTGCTTTATTTACATTACTTACACAATGAAGAACATTAGCTGCTTTTTAACTCAATTAATTACAGTTGAAATTTCGTAATTAAAGTACATCAATTACATTTTCAATACTTTTAATTACATTAATTACGGATAGATAATTTTATTTACCTCAGTACTACTTCAAAACGCATTACTTACTTTAAGTACTTTTGATTGCATTTTCACTTCAACGCACCGGTTCTTTGTATTGCGTGCCTCTCGTTTTATGCTGCAGTCCATTGCTGTAAAAAATTACCCATTGGGAATTTTCTCTTGAAAATTTGGGTAGAAGTAGTTTAGAGTGTAATGTTTACACTGTATTTTTATCGTTGTCAGTTTTTCGAAAGTTGGAAAAAATGGCGTCACCCGAAAAGCAACGTCTCGAATTGATTTTGCGCAGGGCACCTGGAAAATCCTCTACTCTCTCATCGGGGACATTGGAAAATAACTCGGAATCGTGCAGTCAACGGTGAGTCGGCTGATTAAACGTTATTACGAAACTCTGAGCATCGAATGGAAGGAAAAATGCGGGCAGAACGGATGTTCTATTAGTAATCAGGATTTATAAGCGTGTCGTGAAAGCGTTTATGCGGAATCCCAATGCTTCGGTCAGATAGCCAAGGACCGGGAGACACTGCATACGTACAAAGTGAAGAAGGCTCCAAATCGTGATGAACGGCAAAATACGGTGTGAAAGTCTGATTCTGAGAGTTACGTCAAGGTGGACTCCCGGCAGCTTCCGGGGCTACTGTTCTTCACCACCCAGCACAAGTTTGATGTTCCGGAGGAATTAAGGAAGCAGAAACTTTCAAAGTTTGCCAAGGAATGCATTATTTGGCAAGCGATCTGCTCATGTGGCAAACAGAGTGTGCCGTTTGTGACCACCGGGACTGCAAACGGGGAGATCTACCTCAAGGAGTGTCCACAGAACAGTCTGCCTCCTCTGTTGAAGCAACAAAAAGGCCATACGATCTTCTGGCCAGATCTAGCTACCTGCCCCTATTCAAATGTTGTCCTGGAGTGGTACGAAGTAAAAAAGGTCACTTTCGTACCTAAGGACATGAAACACCCCCCCCCCCCCACCACCACCACCACAACGCACCGGAACTAAGGCTCATCGAAAATACTGGGCTATTAAGAAGCAGGCACTACGGAAGCATCCCAAGGAGATCAAATCTGAGGAAGACATGAAGAAAAAGTGGGTTTCCGTACAGAAGAAGCTTGCTTGCTGTCAAAACAGCCTACTGATCATTATTGTATGAAATTGGTTCCAAAAGTAAATAAACCGTGTACACTCTCCCCCCGATGAACGCGAACTCGGTCTACATGAATTCTATTTACGTTGGTCTCGAATGATTCCGTTTACGCGAGAGAATCGCGTAAATGGAGTACACGTAGCATATGGGATTTGACCTAATAGGAACCAACATGGAATATCTCGCGATTCTGGACATATAGAAGGTTACTGTCTTGAGCAAAGTTGTTCAGTAGATCAAGATCTAATTTTTCTCAATAAGCGGCGCTATTGTGCATGTATTGTTGATTTTCTTTTTTATGTCATATCTTGAAATTCTTGCCATCTAGGAAGTTGCTGTCTTCGGCAAAGTTGTTCAGTAGCTATTGATGGTTTTCTCACTACGCGGCGCTAGGTGCTTGAATTTGTGATTTCCTAGTTTGTGTTATATCTTGAAATCCTTGCCACCTTTACCGTCATACATCCAGATTATTTTGGATGTAGATAGCTGGTGCATGTTTGTTTACAAACAAATGATGTTTGAAATAAATGCTCGGTTAAAACAATGCCCTTTATAGGAGGACCGGCCCAAGACAGACGCTGGTGTTGGAAGCAAAAATATTGTAAACATCACTTAAAAAAGGCAAGTGATTACGTCACGTTAGCATAACATTTCATACGTTCAACAGTTTTTGAGAGGTTTTAGACCCCCTCGTCGTCCTCCGTGGATAATCATCCATATACATTCAAACGTTTTTTGTATGAACCGTGAACATTTGCCAATCTTCTATCCCCCTTAAGTTGTCCACTTGGTATATAGACAGCCCCTACTGCAAACAGTGAACGTGACGGTTGAAAAATCAAACCCCCCCCCCATCCGTCACGTTTTTTCTATACTTAATACATTCTTTACAACTCAGATTCCAAACCCTCCTCCCCCCTTAGAGCGTGACGTACTTAATGGATGGCCCCTTATAAGGATCTTATGGGATTGATACACAGAACCTTAAGAGCAACTTCAAACGAATCAGCGAGTTAAAAGTGAAAAAAAATTCTGCGCTGTTCAAAGGTTCTACACGGGCTCTCAATGCTCATACAGAGAAAAAATGGCTTTAAATTTAAATTTCTTCTTTTTACATAATTCTGGGTAATCTTGAGTTTTGCATCCCACTCTCACTTGTTGTTGTTGTCAAAAATGGAACGAGAGATTCGATTTTCTCATGAATATCGTTCAATAAGCTACTAGTGAGTATTGAGATTGCTGACGTTTATCGCACGCACACTACGTCACGTATACTTATACGCAAAATGTTTTCATCAAAAAAAAAAAACCTTCATAGCGGAAAACTAATCACTGACACAATCACAATTTAGCAATCTCTATTTGAGATATTCTCAAATTTGAGTCAATTGAATTTAATTTTGGGTAGAAAATACTCAAGTAATTATTTTTGCCGTAGTCAAATGTAAACTACTATAAGCGGTTTACTGAAAATTAGATTATTGAACGGTACATGAGAGATGAGTGAAAAGAACTTAATTTTGGGTAATTTTTCGGTGCCGTGCCAGCTACCGCTAGGTTCACTAGTGCTAGCCAAAGAGTAAGTACTAGAGCCACTTTCTAGATTGAAGTTTCACTTCTTTTCTTTGCTTGAAATAGTTTCTGTGATAATGCGTTGGATATCTTTGTCACTCTTGCAACACAAGCTTTCAAAATTGATAGTGAAACATGTCATATGACATGGTTCTTACAATAAAAAAGTCTTCGCCAAAGAAACTTCAATAACCATATAAGAAACGGTTTGTTGAAAATTCTGCCACTCTGTGACGGGACTGTATAAGCGGAATTTACTATGTGACTATCTCAAGAACAAAACATTCAATAAAAATACGCACGGTGTTTCTGGTAGAAAAAAAAATATATAAAAAATAGTTCGCAGAAACACCCAAAAACAAAAGCTTAGGTCCTCTCTTTTGATATGACTCCAGCCATAAAATATTTAATCAGGGGTCTCTTCCCAAACCTTGTCGGGTCTCAAGGGCATAGAGAGTCAACATTTAGGTGTAATTTTACACTCCATAAGGTCTTGATTCACTGAACGACTTAGCCGAAGGAAGCAACAAGGCTTTCAAGATATCACAAAAACAAGGGCATCATTAATTCATCACACTATCCACATCTTGATCCACTGAAATACTTTGCAGAAGACAGTAACCTTCTATATGTCCAGCATCGCGAGTCCCTATTAGGTCAAATCCTATATGCTACGTGTACTCCATTTACGCGAATTCGATTTACGCGATACGTATTACTCGCGCTCTTCGGGGAGCGTGTATACACCTATTATTACAAGTTCAAGATGGCGGCATCCGGTTACAGAAAAACTTGGATATTCTGTGAAATACTCCACAATATGGGTATTTTTGGAATCGTGCACTGAACCAATATGACATATTCCTGTTTTGTGGAAGTCTAATAAATTTGCGCTATAAGAAAATCCAATGAAAACGATATGATTGAAAATGTGACAGGTAAATTCTACATGAATATCTGATACATTTACAATGCTGATAAGTTGATAAATAAAAATTAATTAAATTATAAGAATTAATAAATATCAGGCAGTGGGAGGTGGTGTGCTTTTTTTTATTATAGCTTATTTGGGATTCGATCCAGGACTATTGAGGTGTGATGCTGTTCGCTTGGTTTCACTGGACCACGACTGGCTTCGAGATAGAGCTCGTTCAATTAGCATGAAGTAAGAACAGCTTTCCCGACATGGAATGTAGTGCAACGTTATGCTCGTTTTGTAAGAGTGAAGACAAATAGCACTGACAAATTTATGTTTCGTTACGGTAGTGTCGTTTGTTCAAATCTTTCCTAATGCACATGTGTGCAATAAAACAACGACTAAATTATATGAGTTGATGGAACTGGCTCATGAAGTTCCAGTACTAGTGCTGGAATCTGAATAAGCCGTGTGGAAGGCTTTTAATTAGAATCTTAGCATAGTATATATTGCAGAAGAATCATTGTTATTTTCAATCTCAATACATTATTGTCAGGAACCTCTTATCTTATGGGACAATAATAAATAAAGTTAATTTCAATAATTTAGGCAGAACATTCATATAATATGTAAAACCATGCCAAAACAAATGTTTGCCGTTGGGTTTCCTAAAAGGTAAATCTATATGATTATCAAATGATTGGGATTGATCTGTTTACAATCTTCAAACGTCAACAATCAAAGGAGGCTATTCCAATAATATTTACATGTTTTCCTAAAGTGCAAATTTTAATGACTGTCCAATAGTTTCTACATGTATGTTTACACGCGACATATCAACAAACGTCAAAAATAGTTAAAAGCAACTTCAATAAAATATACATCATCATAAGACATATCATATCTTTTAGTGAGCAATATTCATCATCAATATTCAACAGGTTTATTTTTCAGGATTTTATTATTATTATGCTAACTTATATGGATTGCCATTAGTTTCTAGATGTCTATTCCCGAGTTGGACGACTCTATCTACAATACAGGAAATATTGTGTTTTGCTGTGGCTAGCTGCGCGTAAGCTGAGTAGATAGAAAGAAGATTTATCACGATTTTGAAGATTTCCTGCAAAAAGATGATGCACGATGCAAGTAGATGCGAGAAATAAAAGAAGATTTTTCAAAGATTTATTGGCTAGTGTGAGATTTTTTGAGCATCTAGAATTGAGATTTAGATGTGTCGCCCCCCTCGTCTATTCCCACCCATGACATAGTAACAACACCGACAAACCTACATGACACTTAATTCTGATTTATGCCCGAAAATCGTAAACAGCTGATTTAAATGTGCAGTGATCCGAACTGTCAAAACCATAGGATTTTTTTTATCTAGATAAAAATAATTTGTCCAGAATAGATCAGACACTAACCAATGCAAAACTTTTACATACGGGCTCATGGCTTAGCTAAAAATTTCCCGCGAACACGGAGCCAGATGTCAGTAGTGTGCTTTGGTCAGAAATTTTATTGTTTTTGCTATGGTCATTCATGTCGGTTTGTCGGTGGTAACAGTTTTTCACCATAATATATATCAGACAATATTCATATACATCTTACCCATCGCTAACTACGTTCAAAGCAAAGGAATATCATGTACTAAGTATGTGAAATTACGATAGAAATCATTCCATACCGCAGTCATAGTTTTTAAGTGATAATCCAATGGAATATATCGATCATCACATAGAATGAATAAATCTTCTGACATTGTTATGTTATAAGATGGATCCAATAAACCGTACATGTCGGTTTGTGTCAGTGTGGTGACGTGTAGAGACGAGGGGGACGACACATCTAGATCATCAACTTTTCTCTTGAAATCGTAATCGACCGAATAAGAAAATAGTCGCCGAAATAAGAAAAAAGAGCGACAAATAAGAAAAAAGTTTCACGCATCCAGTGACGTTTGCTTATCGGATTTCTCCATAGGAGTAAAGAGTTTCAGAAGCTTTGTAGACGCAAATTGATGTACCGTTTCAACCCGTTTTGCCTAAGGGACTTTTCAAAGGAGTGAAAAGGTAAAGAAACTATGCGCTATATTTCTTGAAATTGTCATTTGATTATGGGATTTTCGTACAGCAACCAACAAGCCCGCTTATCGCCTTTTTTTGCAATATAAAGCTGAGACAATAGCTGATATAAAGTGTGGAAGCCCTATATTAACCTTATATTGCAAAAAGGGCGATTATCGGGCTATTAGCGGACTTGGTGGTTACTTGGGATGGTTTCACCAATACCAATATAAAGTCATCATATAAATTTCATAGACCATAATTAAAAACACGTCTCAAAATGACGCTTCTAAGGTTCAGCCCATAGTTTTAAAACGCAAATTGCGTTAAATCGAAGACAACAAATCATTTGTTGTCTTCGGTTAAATATTCTGAATGAACGGTGCAAGTGATAACTGTGATATCGATTTATTAGGGTAGCATGTTACAAAAAGGTAAGTTCTCTCAATTCATGAAATTTTCAGGTTTTTTGATGACCACCGCAGTGTAGACTTTCGTTACTGCAATAATACGGCAAGATCATGGCGCCTAGAAATCAAAAAAATTTGAAAATTTTACTCCACTTTTTCTTTAAAAAAGAGCAATAAATGTACTAAATGTGTCCCAAAAATAGCATTCTACAAGTCTAAATCATGGTCTACAGAAACCTCACAAAACCTTAATTGTTACTTGGGAATTTCACAGCAGATGTGATATTAGTTTTTCATTACTATTCTGTGTTATTGCTGAATAAATTAGTAATGTACTTGATAGGTCCAAGTGAGGGGCTAGGCTGACATTACATCCCGTAACCCTATTGCTTTGAGTTTTAGAACCACTGAATTGCAGAGGTTTTGTCACTAACACAATCCAAGGTTTTAAATTGACTACCGCACGATCACAGTAGGCAAAACGAATTAACCACAAGCAGGCGTGACAACATACCAACAGTGAGCGGTTCAACCTCACAAACCGGCAACGCACTCCTTCCATCCTTCCGCATGTGTCCCACTCGCCTCACAATCACATACATGCAACAACAAAAAATACACAATCCCAAACTCACCTGACTCTTCATCGGATCGGTGTTGAGCTGGCACATGTATCCGCCCCGGTCCTCTTCCATCACGGATTTGATGTGCAAATTCCAGGTATTTAGGTCCGCGTGCGACACCGTCACCCGAGAATTGTGGGTGATGACTTGCTCGTGGATTGCCTGTATCGCCTTGGTGTTCGCCTTCACCCAGCCGATCTGCAGCACCGGCATCCGTTTGTGGTTGTGGTTATTTTTTTTCGTTTCGTCCGGTGCAGGATATTTCAATAACATTATGCGAATGTCAGTTGGATCCGGAGGATTGTCGGTTTGGAATCGTTTGAATGTAGTTTTTATGGGGTTGTTATTACGGAGGGGGATTGGGGATCAACCAAAGTCGGAAGATTGGGATTGTTATCATTTTTTTTGTTGGTATTCATAAGCAAAATAGAAAGGCAAAATATGAAGATAACACGAGTGGTAATGAGGTTTGTCCGTTTGTGGGCAAATGAATTTTAACAAGGGATGGTTTGGGATCGTTTCGCCGGGAGGTTTGTCGAATAGTGGGTGTGTGGTATTTTCGTAGAGCGGGTGTTTATGTTTGGATTCCGGAAAGGATGATGGGTTGAATAACCGCACAGTCCGGGCGAGGTTCGAAGCCAAGATGGTTGTTTTTGTAGTTGAAAGTAGCCCCACAGGGTGGTTTGCCGGTCGAAATGATGACAATGATGACGGTGAATAGTCCAGGGGCATGTTGTTTCGGGAAGAGAAGAAAATAAACACTTGATTAGCTTATAATTGTGGGAAGTTTTGCTTTAGGGCTTGTGGCATTCTAAAACAGATGTTCGTTCTACGATGTATCTCCGTAGAATTATGTAAAAGTGGTGTTGCTTAGATATTAAGTATGTACGGTCATTTGCCGACTGTCACACATCATACAGCTGTGGTAGACGGGTGCAGAACATTAGGCATAAATACGTTAGGCATAATGTACGATAAGCATGATGGATGATTGGCATAATTGGCTATGATGATAGGCATAATACATATTTATCGCTTTTAATATGTTTTTTTTTAATTCCTCCAGATAAACTTTATGGCAGTACCGCGTGTTATTTGATATTGCCACCAACGGACATTTTTCAGACGAATCATGAGCTGAAGATCGTCGTATATTATAATTGAGGGGGTTAGAAGGAAAGGGGTGTAAGTGACTTTGATCGATTCTTTTCATCGACTTTCTCTTTTGTTAATAATTCAGCTGCAAACACATTCCTTGATTCGTGTGCCATTCTGGATGCTAGATGAGAACCTCCTTTATCAAACTATGTGGCAGAAATGGCTTAAAATCTGTTTATAAAGCTGTGGCTAACAAAAGAGAAAGTCGATGAAGAGCATCAATCAAAGTCACTTACACCCCTTCCCTTCTAACCCCCTCAATTGAATCAAATTTATCCTGGTATTTTGGTACTGAGGCAGCTCTTCCTTCAACTACAGAAGTATTCAGAGATTCAAAAGCATTATTAATATCATCTTTGGATTGCAAAGACATGTTCGATATTACTTCCAATCAGTTCTATATTAATTAAAAGTAGAGCTGTTGGGATTCGACATTATTTATTGGAATATTTCAAAAGCTTCTGGATGGTGATCAGAACTACATAGCATGTGTGGAACATGATCATCAAAAATCGGCCTATTTCAGTGATTTTAAGTGGTATAGAAAGACGTCGATCTGTCAAATTGATTATAAATACCAGCTGTAAAATAAGAAAGGGAAAGGTAGTCAATTATATTAAAACAATAATAGAGTGGTTTAAAATTCTATGTCTTCTTAGCACTTCTGAACTTATGTCTTTGTTTATCGTTAACTATTTACGTCCTTTATTTATAACTATTTAGCTGTACTAAACAAATTCATCGCCTTGCTTAACACAGCAAAACAATATATTAATGTTTGCATTTAAAAAAAAGTACACATTTTTTGCCGATATTTTATGCACCACCTGCCACCAACTTTTAACCTAAAATGTCATTGTAAGCTACCTTTACTGTTTACAGGGCAATTTTGAAAGTGATACGTTTTGTTTTCTGTAGTTATGGCAGAAAAGTGGGAACCTACTGGTGAATACTTGTTTAATTCTGCTAATTCTAAATTTGTGCAGGTATGTTTTTAAAATTTTATTTTTATAAACTTAGAGAAGAAGAATGTTTGAACCATTTTTCCGTTCATACTTTTTTAAATTGTTTGGAACCAATTGCATCAACCTTTGATTTCATTTGGATTCGTAGGAGGAAAAATACGACCGCACAAATTAGGAGTTTACAGCACACATTTTGAAGACCAGAGCGAAGCAGCAAAATTTTGCAACAAGTGGTCCAGTTTAGGCAGAAAATATGCAGTGTTTTGAGGTGACCATCGTTTCATTCGCAAGAATTTCGCAAGCAGGACGATAAATCAAATCTAACGCTTCGATACCTGAAATACTCAATGATTCATCCCTCCAAAGTTTTTATTTATGGTCAACGTTAATATCCATCAAGGAGACGAACCAGCCCAGGGCTGAAAGTCTCCTTAATAATGATAAAAAAAAATAATATCCATCAACAGATTAGGGGCTGTTCATTAACTACGTGGACAGTTTTCTTGGAATTCTTGACCCCCCTGCCCCTGCGTATACAATTGTTAATTTGTAGAGGCCGTGGATAATTCTCAACCCCCTTCCCTAACTGTCTACGTAGTTTATGGACGCCCCCTTAGTTCGTGCTGAAATCATAACATTCATAAATAGACTTATTAAAAGCACAGCGAACAATATTACTGGTTACCCGTGTTATCAGTGTAACTGAGTATAAACCAATTGAATTACCACAATCCCCAATGTACCAAAAAGAAATGTCAAATAAATTTTATTAGTTGTTCTTTGTCCTCCTCGAAAACACGCGTTTTATTTTACTCTTGCTGAGAGGCATAACCACGTTTATTTTTCGGAATTGCGATGGATGACGACGCCAAGATTCTCCGGATTCGGCCGTTCGATGGAACCGGTTTTAACAACTGGTGTTTTCGGATGAAGGAGTATTTGCAGCAGCTGGAAGTGTTGCGGTGCGTCGAAGTGGCTGCATAAGAAGAGAATTTTTGGGTTATCCCAACTTCGGATTCGGCGGAGGTTAGGGCAGAGAAGGAGATTAAGCGTGCAGCTCGGATTCGGCAGGACAATAAGTGCCGGTCGGTGCTGATTCAAGCCGTGGCCAACTCGAGTACATAAAGGACAAGGCAAGTCGGAAGCTAATTCGTTACACTCTTTCCCTCGAATACCTCGTGAAGACCATCCCAAATTAGCTTCGGACTTGCCTTGTCCTTTATGTACTCGAGGTGGCTGTCGTGGGACGGGAAAGAGTATTTCGTGTCGTTTACGGACGACTATACTCAGGGGGAGGTAGCTCATTGATTCTTCCGGTTCGCCTCCTAGCATCGTGCTATAAGGTACCAGGCTATAACCAGGGTAGTTGATCGATAGCTCGATGACGTCATTTCGTTGGCGTCTGCAATGGGAAATTCTCATAGCAGGCGTTGACGATGGGACGTTTACGAGTTGTAGAATAGCAACTATCGTGGTAACTCACCGATTACCTGTCGATCTGCCAAATTTGGAAAGACGTCTGCATTGAATTGTCTCATATAATAATATTCCGCGCACTATATCACAAGAAATTGCGAGTAGCTGAGTGGAATGGAGATAAGTTAAGCATTGGGTACAGGACCAAGTCTCCCCTGGGTGGTGCAAGAAGATGAGCGCAATAGAATCATCAAGTTGCCATATGGCACGGAATGAGACTATTGCATGGCTGGGTAGTCAAAGTCTTCCATTCGTTAGTCATTTCAGGTGGATTAGAACAGGTTTAGGTTTAGGGTGGGCGTTGGCCAGATTTGGTTTCCTAAATAGGACCTAGATTATTTAATACACTAGTAACCTCAACTTCTGTCACAATGTTTCATTGTGACTAATCAACACTCAATGGGTAAAATATCAAATTTGCGGTAAATTTGAAAAAAAAGGTAACTTGGAGTGTAGAGCGCACTGCCCACTGGACGATTCTGAAACCTGACCAAGTGAGTGGGTTACGGGTTTATTTGATTGTACGTCATTTCCAAGTTATATATAGATACATTCATATCATTGGGGAGCGTAACCCATGTTATGGCTTCCATTTATTAAATAGTTCAGATAGGCTGGAAATGATAGGTTCATCGTGAGAAAATGTACCATATGGTGCCCGTTCACTGATCAAGATTAGATTCAAATCGTCAGGCCCTGCCCTGGAATAAGGGGATTGACGATGATTTGTCAAGTTTCATTTTGCATTTGCATATAATTGTAAGTTTAGGTTTGCTTTTGTAATTGTAAGATAGATAGTTTGCCTCAATTGAAACATTGAGTTGTATAAACTTGACGAATCATACCTCTAAAATAGTAGTAGTTACAGTGCCGCATTATCTAACAACCACTGCCTGCAACTAATGTTGGAGGGGTCGGCAGGGCTGATTACGGATCATAACTAACATAACTCTAACACTGAAATGATCCCGAAACTAACGCTCATTCATTGCACTTTGAGTCATAAAGTAGTTTTATTTATTTTCCTACTAATCTATCTACACACTTAGTTTTTTCTACTGAGCTCGGCTGTGCGGGTCTCGGCGGGGAGTGTTTCGCTGAGATCTCGGCGGGAGTGACATTTGATTGCCTAGTCTCGGATAATGCCTTTTCTAATAATCTGCCTACGTTTCTTTTATTTGTTATCTACTTCATCCCTTTTTTATTTGTCTGCTCTTCTTTCCTCTTCTCTTCTTTTGTTTTGTTTGTTTACATATAACTAATACTAATACCTCCTTGTTTTCTCTCTAATTTGTCTACTATGTCCCACCATCACGATGAGAGATGATCTACCGTACACGCTCATATACACTCCCAAAATAGTATGCCGCAAGTAAGTATATCACAGAGGCAACTAAAGATCCAGAAACAAAAACCGATAACGCTGAACGGCAGATTGGTTTACAGAGGTCGACCAGGGTGTGTGCTGATAAATTACAAAATTACAATTACATCATTATTTCATACATCAGCTTGAATTACGTTGATCGATATTACATTTTTTTGCTGTGCACTACACCACCGGAGCCAGCAAAGTTCAACAATCCATCGTTGCTTATG